GCAAACAACTTTTGCCATCATCTAGTTGGCATCCAGTCATTAGTGGTAGAATCAGGTCTTTTTTAGGAATTCTAATTGTGGCTGCTGTTTAAATCAGGTTATACAATAAAATAAAGCTTTCAAATTCTCACACTTGTCGCCCCGATACATATAAATGCATAAATATTGTCTTTTAGGACCCTATAGAGGTACTTCATAAGTACACCATCATTGATACTCAAAGTCACTTTCAAGACAAATGTGCCAAAAGGTTTTGTTTTTAGTTCACAGGTGTATATGACTAAATTCTTATTTCTTGCTGTCCAAAAGGAAAATGCGTTGCCTGAAAAGCGAGAGCATGAGTTCAAGGACAAAGAGGAAGACCTTCAGAGAAGATGATGTGAGTAAAAAGGGAAAAGAAAAAAGTGGATGTTATGTCATTAATCTAGATGGCTGGTGCACAGCGTGGTGTTAACCTCGGGGAATGGCCATTTTCTTTCCTGATGCCACACTACAAGCTCCAAATGATGAGTCATCATTGACCCAAGCAACTAGAGGGGCAAATTACATTCGCACATGGTCTGGCACCGCAGCGTGACAGTCCTTGGCGAGACATAAACTTGGCTACGGTCGGTCAAAAGTTTGGCAGGGTTTTTCTTGCAGGTGTCCTCTGTTCAGATGCATCTTTCACTCTGCGTGTCGCCTAAACGAAAACCACAGAGCGCTCCTGCAAATGTCCAAACACGTGCTCTTGAATGTGATGCATGTATGAGTCTCTTCTTTCCGAGAGAGCGCGTTCCCCTAAAGGTAACCCTGTAGAGCCTGCAATGTTTCCTCTCACCCCGCCTCTTAACGGTCGGTGGAACAATGTGCCCTTCTGTCCCTGTTTGACAAACCAACACATCCCAATGACTAAACACGGGTGAAAGGCCATAAAGCCCCAAGCAGGCACCAGAATGGTCACCCGGAAAAAAGTTTTCTTGTCCCCTTACTTATAACTGAGTGTGAGTTCATAAGAGTTGGGTCAGATATACCACTCCACGCATGACTGGACGGGGAAAAGGATGCACCGTGTCAGGTTTGAAAACCACAGCATTCACTGTAACTTTTAATGGGAGGTGACTTCTCGGCCTCACTGGGGGGCTTGGCTTTGCAGGAAGAATGTTGTTTAATGGCAGAAACTTTAGGATGTTCAATAAGATTGAAAAATAGACAAGTTTGCATTTGAAAACACGCATTTGAAAGTTAAAGTTCTCTGATCAAATGTTGGTGTACATGAACACACTGTGGCAAAAAATATCTGCTTTCTATTAAAGCTAAACAGAAGAACGAAAACAGAATAATCTAATGAATTTTTTATTATAATGTCAACGTCACAGCCTGCAAATTCAGTTAACTGCTGTCAAACCAGCTCTGTGTACACAAAAAGGAACAAGTCACAAGTAGCCTCAGTGAATATACCCCCATCACATGTTCCCATGTGAAAATGTTGATCGTTTCAGCTAAAAAAAAAAGGGAACTTGAGGCCACTAATCCATGTTACAGGTTAGAGACACAAGTGTGTCAAAGAGAGAGTACATCAAAGATAAAGCTGAGAATAAAACCCCATCCTGCGGTGGCCTTAATCCTTCAACACCTGTGATATGAAGCACGCTCCTTTGATGTGGTTGGTTCAGCTGGAAAAAAAGAAGAGACTTGATAGGGAGGGAGAGAAAAAGGGGGATAATAGGCTGCTCATTTAACACGGGGCCACATTGAATGCAAGTTTAAAACGACAGGCTGGTGTGGACAGCTAGAAAAGCACTGTAACTCTTCAATGATATATTTCCAGGAAGGTTTACTGCTCCATCTTGATGATAAAGTATTGTACAGCGCTGCTGGCTGGATATCTGGTGATGTCTGGGGGCAGTAAATATATAAAATTCAAAGCCAGTAGCAATTCATAAAGACACTGAGCTTGTTTGGGGGCTCTGGACATCACAGTAAACACACCCTTCCATGAAGGAGTCTTCTCTGTACAGGATAGTCTGCGCAAACATCTCTGAAGCTCCCATGTGGAAGTCAGCTGTCTTCTTCTCTGTGACTTTTCACTGCCTTTTTTATTATTTATGCTTGCTGGTGAACTTGTCTCTTCGTGTATCTCTTGAGTTCTTTTGTGAATTTTGCTTTAGCTCATCCTAAACTATCCAATTAAAGCATTCACATCACAGTTCCTCTTACAATATCAATCCCTCTGCAGCATAGCCTCAGTGGTAAGTCCAAAGTATGCAAAGACAAAAAGTAAAACCAGGCCAAGCTGTGCCCACAGGCAATTTGTCACCCCATCTTTGTGTGACGATTACCCTTGAGTCTAATTTACAAAAAATTGCAAGGCAGAAACTTCTGGCATCAGGGTTTTCATGTAATACCCTGTGAAAAACTAAAAGATCAAATCAGCAATCATCAACAGAGAAGTAGCCTCAAACTAAAAGATTTTTCAGGAAAACAGTGTGTAAACATTTGGGCCTTTGAAGATGAAGGAAATTGCAGCAGCCACAAACCATTCCAACTTAGAAAAAAATCAAGAAGCAATGCTAGTGCAATACAGTCACACGATGAAATTATGCTACAAGAGACAGGAGAGATGGATGAGCTAAGCAGCCAACTTTGCAACTTCAGGATATTTTACCGGTCCAGCAGGAGCAGAGCTGGAAGGACAAAGTGAGCACAACAGGCAGCAAAGGAGAGGAAGGGACAAATCTGTACAATTTTTTTTTTTCACTAAATGACAAGAGTGTGGATAATCCCCAGTCATCAGAAGATATTAAAAAGGCCAGAGGTCAAAGTAAAGACTGAGAAATATGTCAAATGTAAAGGCTGGTCTTTTCATGGATAAAGATTTTTTTAAAAGCATCAAATGTTGATCAGTTTTACAACCAAGATATATATATATATATATATATATATATATATATATATGGCAACCTGTCCATGGTGTCCTCTGTCTTTAACCCAACATCACCTGGGACTGTCGCCAGCCCCCCCACATGACCCTACAAGGAAAAAGTGGTATAGAGAAATGAATGAATGGATTATTTCTCGTGACACTCAGAGATTTGCCTTTCATTAATGGGAATAATCTTTGATTTGCTTTAAGCTTAATATTTACATATATATTTTAGTTTTTGTGTTTGATGTAGTTGCTCTTGATCTGTAGCTTATCTGAGATACGGTCACTTTGAAACCACAGCCTCTTACTAGTATTGCTTCAGAGATTTGTCATTTTAAGTGATGAGGAATGCTTTGTGCTGTATTATACTGTATTGTGACATCTTTTGGTACACTGATGATGGATTGTATCCCTCCATAAAACCAGCCCTACTTTCCAATGCTTTGCTATGAATTCAGTATGTTTGGAGGAGGATGGCGATGTGAAATTGGGTGTGGCTTCGCTGTTGTTATGGCAACAGAGTTATCTTCCCTTTGAACCACCTCCACCAGTCAGCGCATGGTGAGGGGAAAAAAAAAATCGGTTGCCAATAACAGTAAGTGAAATACTCTATCTCAGGCATACAGCCATCTTTTTGCTGGCAGTCATATCTCTACATACTAATAAGAAGCTCACAGCTAAACAGATGCTAACCTCAGGCCCATAAAAGCCCTATTTTACACCAGCACAAATGTGACAGAGTGATGGCCTCTCTTGTTGCCCACGGTTCAGGCGAACACAGCACATCAGTTATACCAGCAACAATGTGGCAATAAAGCTGTGTGGCAACGTCTTCCTTAATGGGCTGCCCCTGTTATAAAACACAAGGTTACATGACATTATATGGTTTCACAGTCAACTGGCTGTGTGTGTGTTTAAGAGGAGTGAGTGCCTGACCTGCCGACAACCCCACCAAGGAAGGAGAGAGAACATAAAGCAGAGGTGCAGATGACACAAGACACAAGAAACTAGTTAAAATGTCCTGTATGTAGACCTGAAAACAACTCATAATAACAGAGTTTCAGACATCTTTTTATCTCTAAGGCAAGCATGCTGAAAAATGGATCTGTTCACTAATAATTGACTTAGTCAGAAATGGGAAATGACTGAGATAATGAATTAATTAAGTTGACAATTAGTATGAAGCTCCACATGTGAATCAACACCCCCCCTCATCTTATCTGACTGTAAGCTCAAAATCAGTCCCCAGCTTCCACCAATGCAAAAATAACAGGGATGTTACATTTGTGGGATCATCAAGCTCACTTTCTTTTTAAAAAGAAACAAAGGCAAACACTGTACAAAATGGGAGCTGTATAAACAAATATAATGAAATCAGCCTATAAAAGTATAGGAATATTTTTTCACAATGAGCTATTAAAAGCCTGTCCCATGGCTTGGTGTTTAACCTTTATGTTGTATGTGCTGCCATCTGGTGGTAAAATAAGATAATGAAAACATAAACAAATAAAGAAATATTAAGAAAGGATTCATGTCATGGTTAATTAAAAAGATTTTCCAAAACAGAAAAATATTAAAACATTCAGTAAAAAAAATCTAGAAAAATGCAAAGAAATTTGTTGGTTTGTAATATGAATAATCAATTTTGTGTATTGTTGTGGTGTTTTTTTTTTTTTTTACAACTCTTGATTAGTTTTTCTCTACAAGACCAGCAATAAACAGTCTAACCTTACAGTTACTTGATTGTTTTTTGCTTCTTACTGTCCACAGTTTGTAAGATATATATGTATAAGATTTGTGGAAAAATAAACAAAGAAAAAGGAATATTCCTTAAAAACAAGAAAAAAAAAACATTGCACACTAATCGTTTTCACTTAGAGATATCTATGGTAAAACTGGGACATTAAAGATTAATAACGACACATTTGTAAGTTTATTTATGCCATTTTTATTCAAGACTATGTTTTAAAAAACAAACAAACATTTCAGTTGTAAAAAACATCAAACCATACCTCTGCCTATGGGTTTGGAACGGTCAAATTGCAGCTAGGCTTAAAAAGAGCTAACTGTTTATGTTGTTCACGTTGGGTTGAAACACTTCCGACAGTTTTTAGCAGCACTTGAACGTAACAGCTTTCGCGCCAAGCTCCAAGAGCTAAGTCTGTCCTGAGTGTATGCTAACACCTCCAGCTGTGGTAGAAATCGCTACAAAAGGCAGAAATAGTTGCTCCGTGACCATACAGCTAAATCAACAAAACGTCCATGTCTATTAATGTATTTTTAAAAGGAGAGGTGCCATGTTTCGGTATAAGACTGCGTGGTTTTCGAGCAGTGTCCCACAGGCTCACCACAACTTTTGGAGTAAGTAGCTACAGGTGCTATTTGGTGCTATCGTCCAATCCAGAGAAACAGACATAAACTTAAATAATGTTATAGAGTGATTATAATATCTCAATATCTTTGTAAAGGTGATTAGGAAGATTATGAATGATATTTTTTTTTGTTGGTGGGGTGGATAGTGACTTCACAAGATGCAATTTTATAGGAAAGTTTAGAAATCATGCAGTTATATGTGACAAACTCCATTGTAACTGTGCATTTTGTTTTTATTCTACCTTTTAGTAGTTTGAAAGTTTGACTCTAAATTTGGCATTTAAAGACGTTTCATGGCACTATATATTGGTATAATATTCCACTATGCTGAAAAGCAAAACTTTGCCTCTCAAACTTTGCTCTGATTGGACCTGCTTGGCAGTTGTTTGGGTAAAAATGAGACAGCCTGTTTTGATTGTGTTTTCTTTCAGTTTTGGAGGGTGGGGCCATCAAATGCTGGAGGACAGCAGATTACCTTTTCAGCCAGGATGCAACCTGTCCCGATACTCTGAGGTAAAAAGGGCCAAAAAGCCATTGTTAAGCCATCTATTGAGAGCTTTACATCTGTGTGTGTGTGTGTGTGTGTGTGTGTGTGTGTTTCTATATTGTTTTAGGATATTTGAGAGCAAGGATTATCTCTTGAACAAGGTGACGGTGTTCCACAGCCTATTTTTGTCTGCCTGTGAAAGGCGGGAGAGTGTGAAATACGTGTGCATTGGTCATTATGTGCTACCCCCATCATGTGTGCAGGACGGTGAGGATCACCCTTTACTTCTTATTGACTTGCTGTAAACCTTATTGGATGCTGTTTGAGAAGTTTGGAAATAAGAGATAAAGGATTTTTGCCCTCTAGTGCTGAATTGAGCATATTTCTTCCTCCAGTCTCTGAATGTAATGGAGAAAATAAAGTTTATTTGCTTGGATCAATTCAGAGACATTACTGGTTTGTTCGAGAGAGTTAAATTGTTTTATTTGTCCTGTCATTTAAGAGGTTAGAAAGGTGGTTGGCAGGTTGATTTGGGAGTTTGAAGATGAGCAATCAGTTGCCCAGGTAAGACCAGCAGAATATCAACAAAGTTGACCACAAACACCTGTGATCTCCTCAAATGGAGCCCCTTTGTTTTTGACAGAGTGAATATAAGAGCGTCATATGTCTGACTGAAGACCTCAGCGATGGGGGAGGCACCAGAAGCGAGTATGTCACCTCAGTCCTCTGAATATTTGGAGCTGTAACTTAAGATGTAAACTAAAGTGTTTTTGTTTTGTTGACAGCTATGAGCCATCTGATACAGACTCAGAGAGTGAACAGTCTCTTTGTGACCATTGGAGAGGCCCAGTTTCTAAAATGCTCACAGGTGAAGTTTTCTATGTGTAACTTTGGGTTACACATTTACTTTGAGCACACTTCAGTTAGACTATGGTAAATGTTTTTTGGGAAATTCTAAAGCTTGTGCCTACCACAGCACCTGGTTTCTGAACTGGGCTGTGCTGCCCAGACCCACCAAGTAGTGGAGGAAAACTAGAAGAAAGGAGGCCCTTAACTGTTGGTCCTACTTTTCAGCTTCAAAACTAGTAATTTTTAAACATACCACCTAATCCAAACCCATATTTTGAGATTATCCATCCATCCATCCATCCATCCATCCATCCATTATCGTTACCGCTTATTCCCTATTGTGGTCGCGGGGAGAACTGGAGCCTATCCTAGTGGATAATGGGCCACCAGTCCATCGCATGGAATTTTCAGATTATGAAACCATCAATCCATACAGTCAGTATCAAATTAAAACATGTTTACAATTAAACTTCTCTGTTTTATATACTTTCTATAGAATTTAAATGACATAACATATTTTGTGTTAACACGTCATTCCTCCTGTGAACTGTGTCCTCACAGGATACGTCAGCGTGGACAATCTGCAGAAATACTCTGGTGATCTTTGGGATTTCTGCCCCAGACATGTCCAATGCTCTACGTGTAAAACTCCCCTGTGTTTGACGTAGATGTGAACAAACGCACACACAAACACGAAACACTGGCAATGCAGCGTTGAAGTTTTGTCTTAGTTTTAACATCATTGCTGATCAATCTGCTGCACACACTTTTTCAGCATACGAATGTGTTCATTCCTGTTAGTATATTATGTAACCAGCCACTTTTCTCATTAACATTCATACAAACACACGGTGTTTATGGTTGTTTTGTCTTTATCTGCCCTCACTCTGTGAGCTAACATTATTCAAAGTTACTTTTTGATGAGTAAATGAACATTGTAGAGAATGCATGATTGCCTGTAATGATCCTCCCGTATGATAAGAACTGTGATTGAACCGAGAGGCCATTTAACTGCTTTTAGGAGTTTAGAAAAACACTGAAAAACCCTCAAATTTGTGTGTGAATTCCAGATATTCTGTGTAAATATTTTAAAGACCAAACCAAATGCAGTTCCCACACAAAGCTAACTGTTCAAATTCAGTTGCCTGTTTTAGGATTTCCAAGTGTATTTGGCAGTGTGTGTGTGAAACATTTTCAAAGTTTCCTCAGTATAGGGAAACATTAAAAAGCACATAGGAAATTTAGTTTTTGGTATTTAACTGCGTTGAATAATTGTTTTTTATCACTTTCCTGATTTAGTTACTGCACTGTGGGGAAGCGGGGAAATAAGTTGTAATGCTGCCTTGATCAGCAACACGGAGCCAAACGTTTTGGGAATAAACTTACTTTTAAGTGTCTGAAGCCAATATTAATTTCCTTTTTTTATATTTCCTCATTTAGAGACTATAACTACACTCTTTATTTTATAAAAGTTCCTTATTTTGTGACGGGGTGCCCCTGCTGGTCCCATCTGCTGACTTTCAAAGCGGTACAGAAGCCAGAATAGAGAGAACCCTAGGCCCATTGAGTTTTTTTCCCATTCACCCCAGAAACAGGTTGGCAACACTGCTGCATATGTGGTTCTCACCAAAATTGTAACAGTAAAAAGAGAGTTTAACACCACTCACACTGTTGATGCATAACCATCTTACTCTGTTTGTTACTCTCCAACAATTTGTTCTGCTCCTCTTATCCATGCCCATTGATGCCATTTTCAGATCTGCTCTATCTTGATTGGACCCAGAGCTGCTTTGACTAATTGCAAGCTGTTCTCAAATCAAACATTTTTAATTTAGTCAGAAGTCAGACCCAACCCTCCCTCTTCAGTTTTTATATTTTTCTTCAGTTGGACAGTATGATCGGACTCTTTGTCCTAAGTTCTATGTTTTTTTCTAAGTAAAACCACTGTTTTGAGGCCATAGGGCAAAACAGTTCGGATAAATAGTAAAATTCCATTAGAGTATTGACGTTTCGATTTCAGCACCCACACCACCCCCAGCTGAATGGACTGTTCCGCTGCTTATCGACCAATCACAGGCTTTGTTTTGGTACCAGCCCAGAAATGAGGAAACCGCTGCCCGGCCGGTGCTTGTTGGTTGGGTTTGTCATGGGTTTGTACTTTGCTACTTGCAGAGTTTCGTGACGGTGGGGCTCTTCTTTGTGGTCCCGGACTCATTATTTTCGTTCTCGTTCTTTGAGACCTCACCGCCGCCTCTGCAATGGCGCAGGAAAATCTTTCCGTGGTGCTGCACTCTCAGGGAGACCTCAGGCTTGTATGAGACCATAAACTCTCATAACGTCCATAGAACATTTGTAGGATGTAAATGCATCTTCGCTTATATTATTTTGTGTTATAGGAAAATCGTCCCGTCCCGGAGCCCGGACCAAATGGTAAAGCAAATCTATTGCTCTGATCATCAGGGAGCATCTTATTTCAAGTTAAATGTTTTAAGAGAAGTGACGATCAGGTTATGCATTATTGCAGCTGACACTGAGCAGTCAGTCCTTCCATATTTGCTCTCTTATCAGCTCAAATTTTCCATCAGGAATGTATGTGCAAACTTGTGAGGCAAGTCTAAAAAAGTATTCCACATTTCTGTCTTTCACATCAAACTGAAACAACTTTATTTAGTTTAGTTTTTTATTTTTGCAAATATTTGAATTGCATTTTTTGCAGAAGGAAGTTATTTAGAGTTGTGGAAATGTAACAAGTGGCCAGGTATGCCTCCCTTTTCATCGCTCAGACCCGTCTGTCCTGTCTTGTGCCTAGAGGTGTTGCTCCAGATGCACTCGGTTGGAATCTGTGGGTCAGACGTGCACTACTGGCAGCATGGCCGAATTGGAGACTTTGTGCTAAAAAAACCAATGGTGCTGGGCCACGAGGCTGCCGGGCGAGTGTTGAAGGTTGGATCAGCAGTCAAACACCTCAAATCAGGTAATTGCAGAAATTATGTAAAGGACTCAGACTTGCTATTTCTCCTCATTTTCATCGCATATTCTCTTTCACCCAGAAATTTCTTTTCAGATGTTATTGTACCATCCACGTCTTTGATTCTTTTAAAGTCCCATCCTTACCGTGTTATATGGTTGTCAGTTGACTTTTTTGAAAAAGCTGTTTGTCCTGTGAACTTCTTCTTGTCCTTTCAAGGGGACAGAGTGGCCATTGAGCCTGGTGTGCCTCGCGAGATGGACGAGTTCTTCAAAAACGGACGATACAACCTGTCCCCCTCCATCTTCTTCTGTGCCACGCCCCCTGATGATGGAAACCTCTGTCGCTATTACACGCATAACGCCAACTTCTGTTACAAGTAAACTTTTTTTTCTCTATCGTTGGGTTACTTTCCACTAAAGAGATTACTGCACAGCTGCCTGTTTGAAGACCGGTGGCTAACTCCCTTGCCCAATCTTCACATATCCTCTTCAGTTTTTCTTCCTTCTGTTGCTTTTATGACTTTTTCCAGGTTGCCCGATCATGTCACATTCGAGGAGGGAGCTCTCATTGAGCCTCTTTCCGTGGGGATCCACGCCTGCCGCCGAGCCGGCGTTAACCTCGGCAGCACCGTTTTCATCTGCGGGGCAGGTAGCAAGGAGCTCAGACTGTTGAGCCGAGCAACATTTTTGTAATATTCCATTTGCAACTTACTGCAGAGGGCATTTCCCTGCATGCTGCAATCTGACTGTGGCAACATGCTCGTGCTTGTAACGGACATGAAAATCACGCTGAGTCAGCAAACCTGAGGCTAGAGAAACAAAAAAAGTGAACTGTAACACACGTTGGAAGATTTGGAATATTTAACAGTGCTGAGAAAACACGCTCATGAACATTTAGACATGGAGTATATGTCAAGTTAAAAACAAATGAAAATCTGAGTGCAGATGGAGCATTTACAGTATTTTATGTGATTTTTTTCTCCCCACTTTTTGCAGGACCTATCGGTTTGGTCTGCTTGGTCGTCGCCAAGGCAATGGGGGCTTCACAGGTCGTCATTACTGGTAAAAACTCAACTGGCACATAAGTGATGGGCTGGTGCTGATGAAGTCATAGTGGCCTTTCAGCAGCTGCCTCTCCTTCGTTCAGATCTTTCTGCAGAGCGTCTGAAGGTGGCCAGAGAACTGGGTGCAGACTTCCAGCTGACGGTGAAGAGAACAGATGGAGCGCAGCAGCTGGCAAAGAGAGTGGAGAACATGTTGGGAGCTCAGCCTCAAGTTACCATCGAATGCACTGGCGTGGAAAGCAGCATCCAAACGGCCATCTATGTATGTGTTACAGTAGAGTCGGACGGATTCAGAACAAATGATACCTTCATATAGATCTATGCAAACAATCTCATCTATGATAAAGTAACACCGTCAGGGTGGCATGTTTGAACTGATCACTGCCTATTATCTGGCTTGCGATCGTGCCATAAATGCCTTAGTGCCTTGTTATCTGCTGTCTCATAAAATAATTCTGTGTGGCTGACCTTCTTCATTCTCTTTGTTCTAAGGGGACACGTTCAGGAGGTGTGGTGGTTCTGGTGGGTCTTGGTGCTGAGATGGCAACTGTTCCTCTCATCAACGCTGCCGTAAGAGAAGTGGATATCAGAGGAGTATTCCGCTACTGCAACACGTGAGGAAACCTGCACGGCTTTCTTACCTGTGTAAATGAACAGGAGCCAGCCGGGCTGTCAGTTATTACCACAGAGTCTAAAAAAAAATGTTTTCACTGTGTTGCAGCTGGCCGATGGCTATCGCCATGTTGGCGTCTGGTCAAGTGAACGTGAGGCCCCTCGTGACCCACCGCTTCCCTCTGGAGCAGGCGGTTGCGGCCTTTGAGACCACGCGTCAAGGTCTTGGGATAAAAGTCATGTTAAAGTGTGACAAGGATGACCAGAACCCCTGAAGTGACCCGCCGCTGCGAAACAAAACAAACCCACTGCGAGCGACTCGGCATGACGAGCACAAACTGGACTCCGACCTCAGAAAGATAACAGAACAAGTTCAAAACACTCACTAATCAGAGCCCTGGGAAGAACAGTCGAGGGCTGTCCTGCCTCCAGAACAGATGTGTACGTAGCTCCAGAAGCAACGAGTTACAATTCAATAATGCTCAGGAAAGGGTGCAATGATCCTATGACTTTCTGAAAACTGGAATAGAGTAAAAACAGTTATTGAGTAATAATGGTGCATTTTGTTCATGGAAATAATTTTGTGCAGAACCTGCATTACTTATTTCTTAGCATTAGAGGGCAGCAGAGGGTTAAAATGGAATCACTGGCAGAGAATCATACCACTCTGTGCCATTTGCTAATCGTTGTGATGTGCTCTTTTCATCACTGGCATTCAATAAATCAACCTTCTAAGAAACTGGAATTGAGTGGCTCGGTTACTTAGGCCCCCAAGGATAAATAAGAAAGGATCATATTTGCATGTAAGAAATTCTCTTGGTGTTTCACTGTTTCCAGCTGCATAGCGTTTATTACAAAGCGTTTATTATTGTGTGACACTGAAAGTCTGATTAGGTTTGAATGTGCAAGGACCTTTACATTCAACACACCATGGCAACAGCTGACATGCTGAAAGAGTACAGTTTGTCCCAGGTGTTAAGGTCCTTACTTGTAAAAAAAAAAAAAAAAAAAAATCACTGTAATAATTCAATTCATTTTCAAATAAAGCAATAAATATCAATAAAAATGTGCACCATCTCAACCCTATAAGGTCTTTGTCAGGGAGCCAGACAACACTGAAGTGTTGCTTGCTGGTTAGACCAAAAAAGAATGGGGGTTCATGTATACTGGATGAAAATTGTTTTGACTTGTCATTATTTTCTTTTTATGAATAGCGGAGAAGCCAGAATTCTAGAATCTTTAAACTTCACAGAAGTATTTTGGGGAAATTTTGAATTGGTGAAATCTAACCGTTTGACATCTAAGTCTACAAAGATGTGGAAGTTATTAACCCATCCATAAGGTTTTCACTCAGGCCCAAATTAGGCAGCAGCTGGAGGCTATTCAGTTTAGTTTTACTATGGATGTTTTTACTGGGTTTCATGGTTGTGATTTACAAATGAAAATCCACAAATGTCCTCCTCTATTAATACCAGCTAAACTTGTTTTATTATGTTTTTTTTGTTTGGGAAAGTTTCTCTTTATTTTCTGGCTATGTTTCATAGAATAGGAAAACCATATCCTGCATGTGTCTGCCCCCCGTCCATCCCCATTGTCATGAAGACTATCTAAAAATGAAAAGAAACAAGGGATAGTTCAAAAGTGCGTATGGTTGAAATTGTTTGCAGATTTGGTTTTTCCTTCCTTTTGATTTTAAATGGAGAAATATGTTGCTCAATGTAGAAAATAAGCATTGAGGGTCAGTCATTTTCAGTAACTGTGGAACCACAGTACCATCATGGCTTGATACTAAAATAAAACCTACATTTTTTCAGGTTTAGCGGTTTTATTCAAAACAGAAAAACAAAATGAAGCCAGCCAGGTTCAGCTCAGGTTTTATTTTCTTGCCACAATGACATGGTACTACTTTACGAGGCATGCACACAGAGTTCATATGGTTAAAATTCACTACAATGCTTTGTGAGGCCTTTACTTTGGTGGAAAGGCTTTTTTTTCTGTCACAGTGTGTGATTCACAGCTCTCTCTCTCTGTCCCCCTGAAGCCTGATGGCCATTTGCGGAGACTAAACCTGCGTGTTTTGTTTTATTACCATGAGCACAATACAAGACGAGTTGGTCTTTATGTACAGACATTCTAACACTGCTTATGGCAATGAGACGGCTCACACAACACTGGTACATTCACAGTCCACTCATAGTATGCATGAGTTCAGTCAGAACGCTAAAGGTGAACGCATAGGGCAGTAGCACACAAAAGAACAAAAGAAAGGTCATTGTTCCTACATGTGAGTTCATATCAAAAGCATAATCAATGCATGTTAAGAGTTGCTTGTCATTCAAATGTGTGTGAGGGTTTGTACATGAGATTTAGAAAAGACTCGCCGTTCAGAGCTTGAACGTGCGTATTGCCTTAAAATGCGGTAAATCAAAAAGGATATGGCGTTTCTCCCATAAACCTTTGCTGCCAGCATCGGTTTGATTCACGTGTACAGTACTTTTTCAAACACGTAACTCCACATTTTCCTCACATTCAGCCACTAGGATTTATCTGGCTTGTAATTGTGCCCTGGCCATCTCCGTGGCCCGCCTCCAACTCAACTGCAGGTTTCAGCAAATATGTACAACGCGGCTGTGGCTCCGCCCTCCCCACGGCCTCCACTCACACTATTAGCAAAATATGTATTTACATGGGAAATAAATTAAGAGAGGGGGACATGAAGCTATATAAAACATATAGCAGGTGGATCATATTGCATTACATGCCTGTAAAAAAATAAAACTGTGACGCATTCACTCCCATGTGACGAAAGAGCATGGACAGGACAAATAAATAAACAGTGTTCACACACTCGCTGCCTCCCCAGCTGGCTGAGATGGAATGAACCCCTGCTGACATTCAAATGGCTGCTGCATTGTAAGCACAGACAAAGGAGAGATGACGGAGAGCCGGAGGGGCCAGGCCAGCGAAAACAAAAAGGTAAAAATGAATGGCAGCGGCTCCTGCTGTCGTCTATATGTACATCGGTGTTTCCTGTCCGGTTAGAAGCCTGAACATGGCTGCCGGCATGGTCTTCATGTGGATCTGGTGGGAAAAGAGTAGCGGGAACGTTTCAGAAAAACACAGAAAATTCTGCTTGTAGGTTCATGTGTTGGCTGAGGTTACCTCACTAATGTTAAATTGCACCAAACTAAATTTCACAATACGTTCAGGACAACAACAAAAAAAAAGAAATAAGAACAACAATTGAAGGCACATCTGGTTGAAATCAGCCCTCATTAGAGATAAACTCATTAGTGTGGCAGGTGTGCACACACCCAGAGTTAAAGTGGAATTGTTTCCCTGAGTAAGTATTTCAGAGTCAGGGCATACAGAAGAAGGAGCTATCTCAGTATTTGTTCTATTTTCTCTAAATGCCTGACCTCGCCAACGGAGTTGGAGAGGGCCTGGACAATCTTCTCGTGAGCCGTGGCCACCACACTCTGCCCGTTGATCTCGATAATCCTGTGGCCCACACGGACCCCCCCGCGCTCAGCGATGCCCCCACGCATCAGACTGCATATCTGCAGGGCAAAGACACACACACACGACAGGTTACATCCCGAAGCCACTGATGAAAGCATTCAGAAAGACAGAGGGAATCATTCTGACTGGGTGGTTTCGAAAACACTGCCCGAGTCCAAACACCGAACGATTGGACACTGATAGCTTTTCCATGGAACAACACGGCCGATTCACAACACCAAACCTCAACCCGAGTCTGGAAATACTCACGATGCCGTTCTGGACGCTGAAGCCCAGCTGATACTTCAGGTCGGGTCTCTTAATGAGGACGGTGGTCACAGGGGGACAGCTGACAATGTTCATTTTCACCTGAACCTGGTTCTTTAAGCCCTTTATCACAGAGAGGCAAACACACAGAGAGGCAAAAATGAATGTTTGAAACCAAACGGCCGTTTTCTGATGCGTTTCACTGCCTCCGGTGAACACCCTCAGTGTCTCCGTACCTTAATGATTCCCTGACAGGTGGCAAGCGGCAGCCCCACGAGGCTGGTGTTGTTGATGGACATGATCTGGTCTCCGATGCTCAGCTTGCCGGAGCGAGCCGCCGGGCCGCCGTTCATCATGTTGGCTAAAATAACGGTGGGCAGGATGGAGCCCCAGCCAGACTCCACGATCACCACACCCAGAATCTCTCCTTTACTCTTCTCCAGCTGCAGCTGCGGGAGGCCAGAATATCGACCATTTTAATGATTCATCATGAGCACCACGATCACAACAGCAACACTGAGGCGCACAGAGAGCCGACTGAGCCCACAGTCGTAAACACTCACAGCTCAAGAACATGTTTCAAACACAATTTTGAGCCAAAAACATCTGTTTGCTGCAGCCTTTCCTCATCTGATTCATGATTCATCATGATTTGCTGGGGTTGATTTGAGCAGCATGTCGTTCAGTCACAAGTTGTTGGATAACGTGCACAGAACTCATTAGCACTGGAAACAAGATGACTTATGTAGACAGAAGAAGAAAAAAAACAAACAAGCTTTTCTATTTCAGTTTTATGGATCGTTGCAGGAATCTGTGGTGTGACAGCAGTCCTGGAGCTCAGCAGCCAGAGATTTAGAGATGTTTATACTGAGGAGGATTAATATATCTGGTTGCATAAGACTGTCGCTGGCAACACTGCAAATCAATCAGCAACATTGCACCAGTGGATTTATGGTATTGTTGTAATAATGCAGCGACCCACCTTGATCTCTTATACCTGCTGGATTAGTGTAAATTACACTGGACATTGCTTTTTTTTTTACATCATATGTAGATTTTCTCTACATACATACATACATACATACATACATACATACATACATACATAC